TTAATTTATTTTAATTTAAACTTTCCATTCTTGGCGAAATGATGATTGCTGACCAATGGACGTAACGGATCACGAATTCACAAGAATATCATGTATCACAGGATGGGGTGGCTGGCTAGTTTAGAATAAAAAAAAAGGAAAAAAAAACGGTTTTATTTGATCACTTTTAAACTTTATGTAGATTTCTTTGTATTTTTTAATTGTTCTCTTTGTAAAGAAAGTTCATATATAATGACATCAAAAAATAATAAAAGAACCAATAAAAAAATAAGTAAAGCTGCGCAAAAAAAGACAGCGTCAAGAAAATCAAACAAAAATAACAGGTGTCACAAGTGACAGCCCTCTTTCCTTAGAAACTATTCAAAATGAACAGCCACGTAAACGCCAAACATTACAAACTGAAGAAAAATTGAAGATGAACAGCTGGTAGGCACTATTATAAATGATTCTAATAAAAAGAGTTGAGTATAGAAGTTTTTTAAGCAAGAAATGCGTAAAGAAGAAACTAGCTGGCAAATATACACTATTTGTATAATTGAAGTAGCACTTGATGTTTTAATGTGAAAGAACATATCATACAGAGGTTCTTCAACAGGAAATTAAGCATACATTTATCTGCTGAACATGAAGTATGTACGATATTTTGAAAATTATATATTAAATATGTATTGATCTATTGATTTACAATACAATATACATTTTATTTTAGCTAACATAATCAACACTTGATTACTTTGTAAGATCACATTATGAAAAAAAACAAAATCATTTACGATAGTTTCTGGTGGATTGGATTATTCATGATTCTAGGCCTTTTATAATAGTTCAAAGTACATATTTCAAAAAATATATCAATGAATTAGATCCAGCCTTTAAGGTTCCTGATGTAAAACTTGTTAAGAAAATGATACATCGTGCTTAGTACTACTTTTGAAAAAACATTTTCAGCAACATGCTTTAAAGGTATCTTTAACTACGGACATGTAGATATCATCAAAAAGCCAAAAAGGTTACATTGGAATCACATGTTCATTTTTATATAAAAATTGGAAACTTTCAATATGTATCATATCCGCATACAGCAGATCATATTCATAAAACATTAGAAAATATTATTAATTACTGGGATTTGAATGGAAAATTTCTTATAATTACAACAGATAATGCTAAAACTATGAAAAAAGCAATAATTGATATTAATAGAGTTATTTGACAAAATTGTTCCTCACATACCCTTCAATTAATCATTAGCAAAGCACTTAAACCATGTGAAAATTTGATAGCATAGGCCAAAAGATTAATTGATTTTTTTTGCGTCCAAAACAGTCTGAAAGATTGATGGAGATGCAAAAAATAATCCTAATAATGCAAACGTGATATATTTTATTTATTTTTTATTTATTTTTAAATATATATTTAAAAAAATATCAATTAAATTTTTATATAAAAAATATTAAAATATTTATTAGGATATAAGCCAAACTTATGAAATATTTAGTTAATTGCATTAATGATTACCTTACATAGTGGAATTTGTCATACCTTGCTTATATTAGATTGGTTCAAATTAAGACCTATATTGAATTATTGTTACATTAATAAAAAATTAACCGCTATAATGCTATTTACAAATGAAGATGCCTTTGAAAGAAGAATGAGCAGATATCGGAAATGGTACTAAGGTAAAAAAGAACTCCTTGCTAGTATTGAAAACTTATACAGCCTTTACTATACTATATCTAAAGAAGAGAGTCCTATGACTAAAGAAAAAATTAGCAAAACAATAGAAGAGCTAATTGCGTATGATGATGAATAAATTATAAATAAGCAGAAATTTATTGATTGA